CTCCCCTCCTCCCCTCTCCTTTTCATTAACCAAAAAAAAAAAAAAAAAAAAAAAATTAGTTTGGCAAGTCAATTGAGAAAAATGGCAAAGAAAATCAAATAAAATCTTCAGAGACTTGAAAATAAAAATAGCCTTTCTAAAGACACTAAACTTGAAAATGTGTCTTCAATATATGTATCCAATATATTGAAAGTAGTTGATATGAGACCTAAATTTTGCTAAGTAAAGCACTGTATCAGCTAAGGCAGGTCCTGATTCATAGACCAGATAGGCAGTTATCTGCTTACAGTCTACCTATCAAAAATTATGCTCTTAGGCCACATAAAACTCTCCTTAAACATCAACTAGTATAAATAATTAAGAAGACGAGACATTATATTCAAAAAGTTACTACTGAACTATAAATGTTAATGAAATATGTTCACTACTGTATTTTCAGGAATGAGTTAATTTATTTGGTAGTTCATGGCACTCCCAAGCAAAGTTTCAAAAGCATATGGTACCTGGATATGGTCAAGAGGTGACTAGGTCCAATGACATAACATACCTATCAGTACTTCTCAAATTCTTCTTTGCAAAAGAATCACCTCAGTCTTCCTAAAACACACATTCATAGGCCTCTCTCAAAAAGTCTGATTCTAGGACCAATAGTTAGTGTAATGGCTATCACTGGACTCCCATGTAGCCAACACGGTTCAAGTTCCAGACCCGGTGGCTTAACCTCACATTGGAAGCTTGTGCATGCATGCCCAAGATCCTGAGAGAAGAACGGTGGAGAAGGGATTGCGGCATGGCCATCCTCCCTAGGGGGGTGATTTCTCGCCTTCTGTCTCTCTGTCTCTCTCTGTCTTTCTGGTGAGCGCATGTGCCCTAGAGCAAAAACCTCTCCCCCCCCAAAAAAAAGTCTGATTCTATACAGGTCTGGTCTGAGAATTTGAATATCTAACAAGCCACCAGAAATGCTTTCTTGCCTGTCTAAGGTACACTTTGAGGATAGGGGTATTGACAGAATCTAGTACCAAAGTAGGAAAAAGCCTACACCATAAGAATATCCAAACCTATAATTTTACCTATAAGTTTCATATACAACTTCCCAAAGCATCTCATTTCTAACACATCTTATATTTACTTGTAGATATGATGGCTATGTATACTTATACACCATGGGAAGCAATGGAATATAGAATTTCTTTTTTATTTCTTCAGAGGAATTTTTGCTACAGGGTGTGTGTGCACTTGCTGGAGAGAGAGAAAGAAAGTGAGAAACCCCCCTCTTGCCCCCCCCCAGGTGAGAATGGCCACATGGCAATCCCTTCTCCTTCACTGTCCTCTTGGTATTTTAGGAATGCACACACGTGCCCAGTATATTTCAAGCCTTCAGGGATGGGACTTGAACTATAGTCGACAAAGTTCCAGTCCAACAACATAGCCATAGCATTATCTGCTGGTCCTGAGATACAGAATTTCCAAGGTAATTAGATCTTAAAATCTTGTGATAGACTTTGCAATGAAACTTATATGGAATAAATAAGCAATCAACACAGTTTACACATTGTGAGAAGGTATTTTTCAACTACTATTTCAAGTAAACTTTAAAGAGGATGAGACATGATGAGTTTGTTTCCCATTGTACGTAACACAGGTCAAAGCTGGTCATTTTGCAGTATTTCTCTACCAATTTTTATTACCAAAGTTACAAGTCCTGGCATTTTAAAAGTTTTCCCTAGGGGACTAGCCCCATAGCCTAGTGGTTAAGGGGCGCTGGATCCCCTATAGCCAACCAGTTTGAATCCTGGCTCTAGTGGCTTAAAGAACAAACCAGTTATATACGCATGGTACCCCAAATCCCAACTGGATGGAGAAATGGAAGAGGAGGGATTGTGACATAATCATGCCCCATTGGGACATGCTTTTCCCTTCTCCTTCTCCCTCTCTTTCTCTCTAACAAGAGCACACCCCCTGTGGCAATTAAAATTAAAAAAAAAATATTCCTCTAGGTAATCCTTCTCTACAGAGCAAATTCTTTGGGGGAATTTCTAAAATTCTCTTCAGCAACCCACATCTAATTTCTTGCTCACAAATCTCCAAGGAATAGTCAGTCTCACGAACAGTGAGAGAATAACTACATCATTATCACAGAATAAAGCATGGTCTTGGATGTTAAAAAATGCCAACTAATTTTTAATTTAATGTGTTTCAGATACAAAAGAAGCAGCAGCTGAGTTAAACCCTTCCTGGATGGGCTCCATAGCACAATGGTTAAGCAAGGTACATTGAGAGCCGGATCTCAAATGGCCAACTGTGATTCTAATCCTGCCCCGGCAGCTTAAATAGCATACCAGGTATGTGTGCTGTAACTGTCTAGAATCCTCATGGGAAGGAAATACAGAGGAAAAAAAAAATACAGAGGAAATACAGTGTGACCATGCCTCATAGGGGGGGTGTTTCTCTCTGGCAGGTACATCACTCTCTGGCAACGTGAAAGAGAAAAGAAAGGAAATTCCTCCCAATCTCCTAACACAAGTTCTATGAATTAAAATACTCTCAATAAATCTTTGTTTAAAGACACTCTTAAAGCTACATGACTTGGCTTTAATATTTCAAATTGTTGAATGGAACAGATTTATAAAATATAAAAGGAGGTAGTTCAATATTTGTAGAAAGTAGTAATGCTTACATGCATCATTACTATGAAGAGCTAGGTAAACTCGTTATTTAGTAATCTGATAAACTCAGGATTTTTTCATATATCAGATTTCAAATAAATCCTGGAATTTAGAAAGAAAATGTGAATCCTTCAAAATTGCTGTACTTCCATTTTAATGCTCATTATAATGCCTAGGCAAATAAAATGAGAAGTTATACACATTTTATCAATAGTGACAATCATTCTTGGGGGACTTCTAGTACCCACCAGGGCAGAAAACTGTTTACTCTTGTCCAAGTAATTTAAAAACTGCTACTGGTCCCTTTAAGCCCAGCCCAAGAGCTACAAGGTACAAATTAAAAAAAAAAAAAAAAAAAAAAAAAAAACCCCAAGAACAAAACTTAAAAAAAAAACCAGCAGCAACAAAAACACTTGTTCTAGGAGTCCCTCTCCTGGGAGTAGAGGAATTTAAAAATTTTGTTTTTCTAAACTAATGTGTGGGTTCCTAATATTTAGAATTATTCTTTGACTAAAGGGTAACATTAAAAATTTGTATAGCAACATTTAAAAAAAGAATAAAAGAACTCCCACGTAAGCATACTTAATGTTTTCTTCAGAGATTCTTACAGTATTTTTAAACTCTTCTGTTAATACCAACACAGGAGAAAGTCAGATCAATACCAATAATGAAATCAATTAGTCATATTGTGTAAGTGTGTGGAACTCACTCAAGAAGTATATGACTTTTTTTTTTTTTTTTTAGGATTTCCCTCTGTAACAGGCAGGCCATTGGTTTATTCCAATTTATTGTAGGAAACGTCCCAGGAACTCTTAATACAATCATAAAACACTGCTAAACACAGTGTGTGACATTAATCTCTAAACAATCTACTATAAAGCATGTTTCCTGAAATGCTATTGAATTAATCAACAACTTTTCATAATCATTTAATTACTATATTATATTTTAGATCACAGAACAGGAAAGCTCCTCAGACCACTTGTCTGAGACTTCTGCCTTCAAACAGGTGATGTATAACTATATCCATTTTCTGACACAGGCCAGTAAGGCGGAATCTCAAAAGGATATAAGGGAGTTCTTTCCATAGAAGTAATCACCACTGGCCTAGTATCAACTCCCCTCTGGGAGGGTAGCAGTATGAGCATTCATAAAGCTATAAATGTATAGAATACTTAAACCATTGCTGAGTTCAAGTTTGTAAATCATCGTAACTTAATCTTCAGTGACGTTATTGTTACACAGACTTATTAGAGTGCTAAAAATGGCAATTATAATCTCACTTTGTTGAGCTTTAAGCTGACTCCATTGTATACCTTTTTAACAATGAACTTGTTTGGTTTTGGTCAAGTTTTCTTGTAAGAGTATTTCAGAAATGTACTATCTTTCTCCAAGTCTTTGTTAAAGATTCTATCTACCTACACATATCTATCTATATAGATAGATGACATTTTTGATAAGCGATCAAACTTTTCTCTCCTTCCAATCAATTGCTTTTAATCAATACAGTAAAAAAAAAGCTTAAATTTTTCTCTTTTAATGTTTGCATGCAAAAAGGTCTTTTGGGAGAGTGTCAAGAAATACTATTTTTGTGACTTACTTAACACACATGTGTATATATCGCTTACATCCAATATCATCTTTTTTCTGAAACAATTTTTCTTTTCATCCAGTCATTCTTCCTACATCCCTAATATTAAGACCATCCTGAAGGGGTAAGTAATCTATACCAAAGTGTCTGGTTAGTGTTGAGCATAACAATCTACACTCTAGACACACATATATTTAATACCTTAGAAAATAAAAACAAAGCAATGCCTCTCGAAATGGCCGTAGTTTCACTCCAGTTGGTAGTTCGGATACATCAATGTTGGCTGCTCACCGTGCTTTGTAATAATCAGGTGTGTAACAAAACTCAGGATTAGCCCATTATGCCTAATAGCCCTGGAGGAAACACGACCCTGTCTGTGTGTGATTCGCAGGGGTGTTAGTCCCCCTGACACGACGCCACAGCAGTTCAAGAACCATCCCTACAAGCTTGCGTTTGCCCAGGTCTCACACTCCTGCCAGACCCGCTCCTTACCTGGAAGCGGAGGCGGCTGCAGCGGCGGACAGCGGAAGGTGCTGAAGCGGGCGCGACCGCGGGGCGAGCTCTGCCCGCGTGGACCCGCCCCGCCCCGCCGGCTCTCTTCGGGCTCCCGGGGGCGGGGCGGTCGGGGCCCGGGGTTCCGAGAGGCGAGAAGGCGGGGTCCGCAAGCCGGAATGCACTGCCTGGGTGGAGGGGGCCGCTCTCTAGGCCCCGCCCAGAACGTGCACGTGATGTGCACGCTAATCGTTGATTGGAGCGCCCGGGAGGGGAAGACGGAAGCAGCTCGAGAACTCTGGAGTCGAGGCTGAGGGTGAAGTGGTTACCTGGCAACGGGGCGTCTGGGCAGGGAACGCAGTTCCCAAGTGTCGCGGCGTGGTTTCAGGCGCAGGGTTTGCTGTGAGGAGAGTGAAGGAAAACTACGAACCTCCAGCGTAATCACCACCTAACACATTTCATACCTGGTCTGTAGTTTTTAGGGAAATGAGTCAAATGTACAATAAATAAATCGCACTGTCTTTCCTTGGGGGGAGGAGGCGAGGATGCTGGAGAACGAAGTCGAGCCTCCTTCAGGGGCTAGGCTGCGCTTGTTTGAACATTACCTCCCTGTGGGTACAGAATGCTGTCTCTCTGGTACTGCTGATTGGGCCCTAGTTGTGGGAACCTTTATGGGTGAGGTGGTTTTGTTAGTATAATCTGCCTTCACCGTGTGCGAAACTGACATGGTTTTCCTGGAATGTGGTTGAATAGAAATGCTTGGTACTGTCACTCATGTGAGTCTTCAAATCTCTGAAATATCTTCGCCATCTAGAGCCTTTATCCAACACATTAGAGGAAATAAGCCTTAATGTAATACAACTTGTTTAATGACATGTATCAAGCTTTAACTATATGCCAGACTATGAACAGTTAATAAATTAATGGTCTACCCCAATGGGGAAAATTACCTGGGCATAATTCCTACCCTCTTGTAAAGATTCTCCTCTTATTCCCAAAGCATTCTCTGCAGAGACTATGCCCTACCACAACACTTATTCTATTTGTAAATTACAATGTGCTTAAAGTTGGAGTGCCACATAAACAATGAACTTGTTAAAAGCTTAGGTCAGTTTACAACTCTGTTTTTACATTCTAATAAAGTTCCTAATGAGTAACAGGTTTTCAGTGAATGTATGGGAGGATGAGTAAAGAAATTAAGCTCATAATCTAGTAGAGCAAGTATAAGGGTGACAACTAAATAAAATTAAATGTGTTAACTTCTCAAATAGGTCATGTAAAAGTGCTATGCAGTATCAGATGAGAGAGGGAGAAATTTTTCTTTCGGGGTATTTAGGGAAGCTTTCAGTAAGACTGTATTTGAAAAGAGACATAGTGAATCATAGGATTTTATCTGGCATGAGGACAGATTTCTGAGTATTTTTCCTGGACTAAAATCCTTTCCAAAGGGCCCAGGAGTCACGCATAAAAACATTAATCTTGCTGTTACTGACTGTTTTGGTCTAGAAATCACAGATGGCACCTTATGTCCTGACCCTGTGGGAGCATCACCAGATTAATAGCAAAGCCTTATTATCTACATTTACATTAAATTCAGACATTCTTTTCTACTGACTTCAAGTCTCTTTTAGACAAAGTCATCCATATTTAACCAATGACTAACTTAAAAATGTCTAAACCCACCTATAACATACAGGCTTCTGTTTTCAGATATCCCATCTGTTTGGACCAGGACAGTGAAGAGATCCCTTACGCTGATTCACGACTTCATGACTCCTTTTCTTAGAACTATATAAAAGAAATGCTACATCTGAGCACCCAGGCCTAGACTCTCAAAGTCCTGCATACAATAAACCATGTTAATTATATTTCTACAGGGCATAGGGACCCTGTTGGGGGTACCTATCTCATTTCCAGGTAGAAAAGGAAAAAGAGCATACCATGAAACAGGAGCAGCATTGTCCGATGCACAAAATGGGGAAAATGCAAGAATGAGTTAATTTAGATCTTTTTGCCTTCTATGGAGGAAATAGGTGTGGGTATTTAAAGTAATCAAGGGAAATAGAAATTGACAAAAGATTAAACTAGAAATTTAATAAAACCAGATTAGGAAAGACTTAGAAGAATTTCCCATGAAGGTTAGATTTTAACTTCTAAGCCAAAGAAAGTCATTGATGGTTATAAAATCAAACATTTTTGTGAGGAAAGTTACCTTGGAAATGTTGGAAGTATGAAAGGAGGTGGAAAGTTAAAAAAGCATTTTGGGTTAGGAGAAAAATTCAATAGTTCATGGAAAAAGATGGTGATAGACTGAATTAACACAATGAAAACAAAAATGGTGAAGAGGGACAATGATTCTATGAAAATACACAATAATTTTTTGACTGATACTTGCTATGTACATGAAAAGAGTAAGCTGTCAGAGGTTAAAAGTCTTGCTTGTCCATTGTTTGCATAGAAGCATTTTCTATTCTAGTTTGCTCATTATTGCTCCAACTCTTCAATTAAAAGCATAAAACTGAGTAAGACATTTGAAATTAACTTGTACACTCTCAATTTATTGAGTCCTGGAACATTCTGGAATTTGTCTAAAGTCAGCTTTGTACGTGTGAGGGGGTCTTCAAAACATTCACGGAAAATGTGTATTATTAAAAACTGTGCATGAATTTCAATTTTTATACCAAAATGAAATCATACTTTAATTCCATTTTTCCCACAAACTTTTACCCTTGTATGTATCCACTACATTAGCTGAATTGATATCATGACCCAAGTCTCCCAATTCAGTACTCTTTTTGCATGACTTGGCTCATTAGTTCTGCACAAGAGATTTTAGCAATTGCAGCTAACAGGTTGATCTAAGGAACAATATAACCTAATTTCCAAAGGCAAGGTCTCTCTACTCTGATTTTTGTCCTTTTATCCAATGAATATTTAATGTAATGTTCTTATCTTACAAGAAAAAAAAAAAATTGTCAGTCACTCAGGCTGACTGACAGTTTGAGGGCAATCATTAGTTCTTACCACTTCACGTACAAGGAGTTCTTCACGATTAAAAGCAGAGCAATTAGGGGAGCCAAATGGCTCTAGTCAATTATCTTCAAGGCTAGGTATGTTCTATGACAGCAGTGGCTCTGAAACTGTGCTCGATGCAATTTAATGTGGCCTTTATAAAAGATATTCTGAACAACAAAAAAACAAACCAGGAAAAGCTTTCTAAACTTACATTTTAGGAAAATTTAGCTGAAGGGAGTTTGGCTTCACCTAACTGTAAAGACCTCTCATACAATTTTTATGTGAAACATGGTGAGAGAAGAGAAACAAGTGACTAAAATAAAAACTTATCAAACCGATAAGCAGAAAATACATAGGTAGCTAAATATTAAAACATTTTAGCCAGCTTTTATAGCACAGCAGTAATGTATCATCCCATGATACTTAGGCCACATAGGAAGGTCCTGGATTGCACCCGTGGGTCTCCCTGTGTGTACTAATCCCGGCTGGCGAAGGCCTAGGGTGGACTACAATTTGAGAATACTTCTGGGGATATGCTTCTCCCTCTCTCTAAGAATAATAAATAAATTAACTTTAAAAAATTTGCTTTATGTAAAAACATTTTAAAATTAAAATAGTGTTTAGTGCATATACAGTCCATTTCCACAATACTGGCTGTTTGGTTAAATAAGTTAAATATATTTTTTAAATTGACATTTCTGTTATTGTAAATATAGCGATGCCTTTTGGTCATCTTGAATACAGAAAATAGCTTAAATTAAATAATATTAAGGAAAATTTAAGATTTTTATCTCTAGACAAGTATTGACTGAAGTCCTTATTAAAAAAATAAACTATAAAATATTTAAACAGAAAAGTACAGAGAGTACTGCAATAAACATCTATATATAATAAATTTTAAGTTTCTATTGTATCTGTGTCAAACCTTTTTTTTAACAACACATTTCAGGGACAGTGAAATCATCCTTTTTCTCTTATTACTGGATTACCCTCTTCTTTTACCTAGGTGTAACTAACCTAACAGGTAAATATATATATTTGAGCTTTATTTCCTGTCATTTTTTAAGTTTTATACATCCCAGTAGGTGTAGTTTATTCATTTTGATTGATGTATATTTCATATTAGGAATATAAAATATATCACCACAATTAGTTTTATCTACTACTGAGTTAAATTTATGTACATGAACTTTTCCTTATTACAAAACCACTGTGAACTTCCTAGTAATATGATCAATCTTTAAGTTTCCCAGATAACAAAGCAGAGTTGCTGGGTCATGACACATGTACATTTTGAAATTTGATAGATTTTATCAAATTGCTATCCACTTATACTGCAATTCTGTGATTGTTTTTCCTGCTCCCTGTCTTCGTACCATATTTTCATAATTTTTCCAGTCTAATCTAATCTGGCATCTCCACAGGATTAAAATTTGTATTTCTCTGAATTTCTTGATATGGAACATCTTTTTGTGTTTACAAATTGTATAGCTCCTTTGGTTATTTTTCTTTACTTGCTTAACTTTTCTTTATTGATGTGAACTTCTTTAAATATTTAGGATATTTATCTTTGTTAGATAAACCCATTGCAAATATCTCTCCACATCATGAGTTGTAAGAAATTCTCAGTCATTATTCATTTGAATATTTATTCTATTTTCTGTTTTTAAAATTTAAAGTGGACCTATGTTAAAGTTGTCATTTCTACCTATCACATATTTATCATTTTTCTTTTAATACTTTTAATCTCTTTGTCCATTTGTGCTGAATTCTGTATGATTGAATACTATATTCCAATATATATATTTTTCTTCTAGTAGTTTTAAAATAATGATCCTGGCTTCTGCCCCAGACTTATATGGGACATTTAGGTTCCATTTCTCATTATGAGATAACTCCCATTTGCTTTTACCTACTTCATGAAGGCTTGAAATCCAACAGATCTATGATTTCAGTCCTAACTCCTTGTGCTTAATCCACAAATATGCTCACCAAAGTTTTGTGTGAGATGAACAGTTTAAAATTCAAATCCTGGGACCACATGGTAGCACAGTGGTAACTTA